CTTTCTCTGCCTCTTCTTGTCTGTCTCTCTCTGTAACCTCCCCCTTTCCAAGGGGAATACAAGTGGAAAATTATAAACTGAAAAAATAAATATCACTCTCACTTGATGTCATATGGAATTCAGACTTTGGACTGAGGCTGGGTGTAGATTTTCTAGACTTCTGTGTTTTTGTGTAAAAGGAAGAGAAAATTGTATGTTTAAAATTTATAAGAGCAGGAGTGCAGGTCAACACCAGAACATCTACAACACGGTTTAATCTTCACATTTACTCAATTTTTTTCTCTTGTGCATGTTGTGGTGTACATGCATATGCATGCATGCTTGTGAGCACAGGTGTTCATAGATGTATGGAGGCCATAGGCTGACATCAGAGGCCTTTTTCATTTCCCACCTTATTCAGTGAGGCAGGAGCTTTCAATTGAGCCCAAAGCTTATCTTCTACCCACCTAGCAAGCTCATCTGCTCTATTGCTCTAGCCTTCTTTTATTGATATTAGAAGCCGGTCTTTGGCCCTCCAAAGTAGATTGAAAACCAGAAGTTATCCAGGAATCCTCTAGGCCTTCAGCACCAGATTGGGACTATGCAACTACTAGATTGGACCTTCCCAGTGTCATACAGCCAATTTTTTTACTACCTAGGTCACCCTGTGTAAGCCATTCTAATATTCTCTCTTTTAATGTATATGTAATATGTAATATATATATATATATATATATATATATAATTAAATGAGTTATAAAAACCTGAGTGAGCCACTGAGGCAAGGGTAATGGAATCAGGACAAAAGGATTCATTCAAAAGAAGCAGAAATTGTGGAACCTTTTTTTTTTTTTTTTTTTTTTTTGCATCTGAGGAATAGGCACCCATTCAAGACAGCAAAAGCAAATGGTTCATTTTTTGTAATTATGCTCAAATTCTTATGTTTAAGCGAAACACCATCTGAACAGAAACTCATCTTCCTGGAGCGGAGCTTCTTGGCAAGATGCAGGCACTTATTAGTGCCATCACATTGCTCAATTACACCAAACCACAGATGCACAAACGAGGCAGTAAGGGGAGGCTCCGCAGAGAGTGCCGGGTGAGCCAGCTCTTTCCAGGAAATTGCTTTTTGTCTCTTATTTCTTCAATTACCTTCCTCTCTTCTTCCCTCCCCCTTTGGCTCCCTTCCTTCCTTTCTCAGTCTCTGCAGAGGATAAATAAAAACTACCAACTATTTATTTTGGGTAGTTTACATGTTTGGAAGTCAATATTTTTACAAAGATGAAATATTTCACCAAGTTCTACACTGGAGTGATTGATAACTGTCATTTGTGTAATTAGTCACTATAATTACATGAGTAAATTACTCTGAAATAAAGCCCTTGTTAATCACATTTTGTTCAGTAGGAAATAAGTTCACTGTCTTTACGGGGCTTAGATAATAATGACACTGGGGAGGAGCTGAAGTGTAACTAAATGCATTCAGCAACAGGTCACAACTTAAGCTACCTCAATCCTTTTCCAGAAATGACTACATTTTCATAACACTAAGCATGCGTGGGTATCTATTTTTTGCAGAAGAAACTCAGATGAGCTACAGAACCATCTCAGTTTTGTGCTTTTCTGGAAGGTAGCATGGAGAGCCCATTACCTCTGCCTCCTTTCCCACCACCCTAAAGAATAGTGTGACTCCTGGGAAGTAAAGTCATTTGCATGAAAGAACTAAGTCCATGAAAATTCCCACTTTAACGTATCCAGAGATAATTGCAGGGGCAGTACTCATGGAGATACTCCAGCTTTGTAAAAGTATTGACTTCCAAATACCTAAACTACCAAAAATAAATAGTTAGTAGTTCTTTTCTATTTTTTTATTTTAATTTTTATTAATTACACTTTATTCACTTTGTATACCTTCATGGCCCCCTCCCTCCTCCCCTCCCAGCCCCACCTTCCCTCCCCATTCTTCACTCATGCCCCTCCCCAAGTCCACTAATAGGGGAGGTCTTCCTCTCCTTCCTTCTGATCCTAGTCTATCAGGTCTCATCAGGAGTGGCTGCACTTATTTATCCTCTGGAGAGACTGAGAAAGGAAGTTAGAGAGCCAAAGTGTTGGAGAAGGGATGGAAAAGAAAAAAAAAGGTAAATGAAGAAATAAGAGATAAAACACAATTTCCTGAAAAGATCTGGCTCACCCAATGTGTTCTGTGGAGCCTTCCCCTTCGTGTTAAGGTGTCAGGACACCAGGAACAAAAATGAAAAAGGAGACAAAGGGAGTCTTCACATTTGGTCACTGTCTGGTGACACAATCTCTACTCCTTCAGGTACTCTATATCCATGTATTGGGTTGTCATCCATAGGAGTACAGTTCCAGACTCCTTCATCCTTACTGCACAGTACAGTTCCAG